GCCTTGGCGGTATGTTTTGGGTCATTGTCATGCTGGAAGAGCCATCCTCGACCCATCTTCAGTGTCCTGGCTGAGGGAAGGAGGTTCTCATCCAAGATTTTACAATACATAGCCCCGTCCATTGGCCCTTCAGTGTGGCAAAGTCGACCTGTACCTTTAGCAGAGAAACAGCCCCAAAGCATAATGTTCCCACCTCTGTGTTTGACTGTAAGGATGGTGTTCTTAGGGTCATACTCAGCATTTTTCTTCCTCCAAACACGGCAAGTCGAGTTGATGCCAAAGAGCTCAATTTTGGTCTCATCTAACCACAGCAATTTGTCCCAATCTTTCTCTGAATCTTTTAGATGTTCATTGGCAAACTTCAGATGGGCCTGTAGATGTGCCTTCTTGAGGAGGGGCACTTTGCGGGTGCTGCAGGATTTCAATCCATGGTGGTGTACTGTGCTACCAATGGTTTGGTGTCTGTGGTCCCAACTGCCTTGAGATCATTCACAAGCTCCTCCTGTGTAGTTCTGGGCTGATGCCTCACTTTTCTCATGATCATCCTTACCCATGAGGCGAAATCTTGCATGGAGCTTGTTGGGTAAAATTATTAACAAAGTCATACTTTAAGGTTTATTCTAACATTTGATTGAATTAAGGACATAATTAGTAGAAGACTGACACTATGTTTGTTGATTAGTCAACCTGTGTGTTTACTTTGTTTGCATATGGTTATTCTATCATATTAAGAAAATGAATACTTAGGATTTAGTTTAGAGCACACATAAGTTTGCCTACTTACAGTATATGTTTCAGTTATGTTTACATAGTTAGTTGAGTATATCATTCTATGTGTTCACTGAATTTCTGGCCAGTATTTGCTATGTTAGTCAACTGGAGCACTGTTTAACATCAAAGGGGGGACTGGTTTATTAAAACACTGAATCTCATTAGATTTACAGCTTTGACAAAGAGGGTCCACAGTTAATTTATTATCACCACCTGGCTGAAGAGGCCAGGGAATTTGGGGTCACTGGGACACCAAGGGTAATAAACAGAGATTAGACCTAAAAGCCAGGAAGAGGAGACAACTTCAAAGGCAGGACCATATACATACACACACAGGCAAGACAGTTTAATTAGCCAAACAGAAAGCCATGTCTCATATAGTGTAGTTAGTAACAAAGAAAGAAGTGAGTGTAGGAATTTGGACAGAGTAGAATTTCCTCCCTCTTTAGGAAGCTGCCTTTCCCATTGGAGCAGGAAGGACGCAGGAGGAGGACGGATGGATAGATGGACCAATGGAACAGCACGAGAGGACCAGACCAGCCTACAATAGCACATTTCAAAATTGTATAAGTAACTGGGTTTCCAGGATGGTAGGCGTTCCCTCTCGTCCTGAAGACGAGTTGAACGGTTTTGCTGTTGAGGTCAGGGCTTCAGATAGAGACGGAACCCAGAGCTCTGTAAATTGCTTTATTCAAAGGTCCGTTCAGTTATGATAATAAATGTTTGAAAGGTGATATTTGACTCAGATTATTCTTCATAAAAGAACACGCAGCAAGCTCCAGACCGAGGGCGACTGATGGTTAGTTTGTATTTCTTCCATTTGTGAATAGCGATTCCAACAGTTGTCTCCTTCTTACCAAGCTTCTACAATCTAAGCAGGTCTACAATCTTGTACCTGATTTCCTTTGACAGCTCTTTGGTCTTGCCCATGGTGGTGAGGTTTGAATGGAAGATGGAGAAACTCTGTGGACATGTGTCTTCTATACACATAATGAATTGTCGTTAGGAGCACCTTCTTACAATGACAGGACTAATTTGTGCACCACATGAGCACATACCCAGTCTGTGGGAGCCAGAATTATTGTTGGTTGGTGGGGGATCAAATACTTATTCTACTCATTGAAATGCAACTCAGTTTATAACATTTGTATTGTGTGCTTTTTGGGGATTTTTTGTGGATATTTTGTCTCTATCCTTTAGAATAAACCTATGATAAAAGATACAGACACTTCATTTCTTTGAAAGTGGGCAAACCTACAACATCTGCAGGGGATCGAATAATTTTTTCCCCACTGTAGTTTTTTTTCTCAAATGTGTTTGGAGAGGTGCTGTCGAAGCCTCCTGTGACCCAGACAGTGCAGAGATATCAGCTTCTAAAAGGTTTTGGATGGAACTGACTTCTTTAACCAACCAGAGATTTTCAGTTTTGTTGACTTCTCATTTCTTGTAATTTCATAACCACAAATATCTGAAGAGCTGGGCGGAGCACAGCAGGTCGTAGTAGAGCACAGTGGAGCAGGGAGAGGGAGCGCTGGGTGGAGCAGAGTGGACTGACAGAGTTTCATGCTGGTGCTACCTTCAGTTACACAGTGTAACTTTAAAGGATTCTACAACTCTTACTAACAACACAGGAAACCAAGCCAAGCCACCATTCCACCACTGAAGGGCAGAGATTATACTTACTGTATGAGTAACTAACTGGATATTTCTGGAATCGCTTCTGTCACAACATAACTGACGTCAAGAACCCGCCCTTTAAAAACTGTTGGGTTGATTCAAAAACCACCCTGATAAGTGACTTGGTTACAAAGGGAAGTGGCTATTCAGCCAGGAATCCATTATGATGACCTGGCCTGCATTCATTACATTTATATCAACAGGGAACACAGGCTCACTGTGAGGCAAGCAGAACTGAGATTATACTCCTTCCATGATTTAGTCATATTAGTGTTTTTTTACTGCGTCCTCTTCATACACCAGGTAACTACATAGCGATTGGCTGCTGCAGCCCAAAGCGATATGTCGACAGACTTCAGCGTTCCCTCTGTTTCCAGATTGACCTACTACCCTTATCAATAAACCTCTACCATCCTCTGTTCTCTTTTTAACTTTCTCTTTCCATAGTGGAAAAAACAACACAGAGTTTCTAGTTCAGCACAACGTGTGCAGGAGCCCGGACTGATCTTGGCTTGTGTATACCAATCAGTTGCTTCACACCGAGTCAGCCTGGCACTGGTCCAAGCAGCTGGCGGCAGTCATAAGCAAATACAACTGAGGAGGTGAGTGTACAGTGTTGACCCCCAGCACCCATAATGGGTTGAATTGTGACAGAGATAATTGGGCTAATAGGTAATAGAATTGTTAGAACAAATGTGCTCCCTGAATGGCTCTGGTTGATGTGGAGATGAATTTTATCCAGGAATTCAGAGCTGTCTTAGAGTTCATTGGGTACATGGTGTAATGCTGCGTTCACACATACAGGCTGGGTCAAAAAACAGGTGTCATTCATTGTGAATGAGACCCGACTTTGCAGCCCTGTGCCCCTGTGGAGCACGACAAAGCCACACTAAAAGGGTGCAGAGGAACTCTCAACTTTATGCAAATATTTTCTGACATGATGCGAGCGATGGCCAGATGAGGGACGACCATCATCTTTATTCCAGCTGAAACAGAAATCACCACTACTCTGCTCTACTACAGGAAGGAACTTTAAGTAAAATGTAGAAAAACATTGTTACATTTTCAGCATTCCAGTTCTTTACAGCTTTTCTTTAAGGAGTTACTCGGACATAAAGAAGAACAATGTGTGTAAGCAAATAGCTGACATATGTAGCAATACCGCCGACTGCATTATAAAAGATGGACAAACCCTCCTGTGATGTCACCCACTGGTTTTCTGAAGAGAAGTTCTGAAGCTCAAGTCTGGCCACCTCCATCTTGGTAACGCTTCACTCTGCCTATCTCTGGCCAGTACAAACATGGGCAGAGAAGTGGAGCTCGGTAGACATCTAGTGGCTAACCACCTGTGGCAGGACCCTCCCACCTGTCACTCAAAGCATCCACACCCTTAATTAATGCACAACTTATGCATAACCCCCCCATCCTGGGAGTGTCCTGAGTCAAAACAATTATAGCCACCAAATCAAACACTTTGTTGTTCATGTCATTTTATCATGTAACTAATTCACCACAAACCTAAGTGTTTAGCCTTCCTAACAAGCTCCAACTACATTCACTGCTTTCCAAACTCATCATTCATCAGGCCACTGTTACCAGGCAGTGCTCTACTTTGTGCTCTACTTGGTCTGTTTATACAAGTAGGTTCAGAAGTGTTGCCAAAATATGATCGTAGATACAATGAGTTTGATGAACTGACGCATCTACATTAATGCCAGACTGGAGGTTTCGGGCAGGGATCATGTGTTTGTGTCCTTTGACTGCTGTGGTTGGGCTGCTGGTACAGAACAGCAGTAGACGCAAACATCTTTCAAGGCTTAATGCCCCTGTTAACTAAATGTTTTAGCAACTTCTTTATTTCCCCCACTGCACTCTTGTATTAAATAAACAAGTCTACCATATATATCCGGCCAAGCAATGACTCGATGTTATTATCTCAAACCAAAGCAGCTGTCAGCATCAACACGTGGCCCTGGTCCATCTTTGAATAGTAGGTATTTGGAATTCACAGTCAAGACACACAAAGGACGGTCTGATTTAAATGGCCTAAAAGAAAAAGCTATAAAGGGATTTCTAATCAAAACAAACAGGAAATATCTGATTTAAAGAGTATGTAAGCAACACTATACAGCATTTTGGTTCTTGACATTTTTCTGTTCTGTTCTTGACTCTGTGCTCTAAACACAATACATACAGAAAAGGATTTACTGTATGTGTGTGTCCTGTGAAAAATAAAAAACAGCATCACATTTTTCCTTTTAGTGCTGGACCAAACTGATAAAACTGACTGATTACACTAGAGAAATGAGATTTCCAACATCTCGTTTATAGCCACTGCTTTTGCAAACAAAATAAGCTAATTACTGAATGGAGACGGTTGTTCCAGCTGCCTAGCTGACCTATAAAGCTGTCATGGTAGTTTATGGTATGGGTTTATTGTCACCAATTTGTGTTAACAGCTGACTGAATCTGTCCTGGGATTTTCATGTTAAGCCAACTGCAAAACAATCTGAGAAACATCTTTTTAAGACAACTGCAGACATGAGCATCACCTGCAGCAGGATGGTGCCACCGGGAAAGCTGAGCTGCACACAGTACTTTGGAGCATTGTCCCATGAGAGGAGCTGCAGGTCTTCTATGGAGCTGTAGGACAATGACGTCTCCATGTAACCAGTGGGCTGCGGAGGAGAGAGAAAGCCAGTGGATATTAGAACGCCATTGTAACATTTACAGTACATACTGTATATTTAAACAGAGTCAGAGGAGAAAAGGGCTTTTATTTTTACTGGCAGTCAGCTGGAAAGACAAAAAGAAACATATCCCGAGCTAACCTGCCCTGAGTAAACACCAAGGCCAAACAAAACCTCCAAACACAGTGTGATGGCAAAGGCAGTCGCACAGTACACAGAGTTGTCTTTATCGCCTGTGGTGACACTGGAAGCAGAGCCAGGTGGTCATTGAATGCTGAAACAAAGTGGAAAATCAGTCTAGCAAAAGCCATTAATCACACAAATACACAAGTATCACCTAGAAAGACGTTGTTCACGTAGCTTTGAGTCAACACACACACACACACACACACACACACAGAGAAATGTGATGGCAGAGCTGTGATCCCAGTCTGACCATAGTGAAAAATGGAAGCAGATGCGATTAACAGGCCACAACCTGTTTGCTAGTCTCAGAATGATCAGAGAAACACTGAAAAATGACCACATCTCTCGGGAACAGGACAATCAGAGAGAGAAAAGGAGTCTAAACAGATAAAAATAAAGCTGAGTGAAGGCCATGAGGAAGCTATACATGTTTTAACCACCAGGAGATGCTTGAAAAGTAATGCCAGAGTGTTTCTATAAAAAGACACGTGTCTGTCGGCAATGCAGAAATAGCACTAAATGAATCACCAATTTATTTCACAGATGTTAGCATCACTACATGACTTAGTACCAATTACTGCTGATGGGAGACCAACTGTATATTCACATAAATAGGCCCTGCAGACGTCATTTACAGTGGCTGCTGCTGCAACCTACTTAGGCAGAAAGGTTTTCTGGAACTTAGCAGCATTTGTTAAATGTTCCTCTTCATTTAGAAAACCTGAGAGACTCACTCCGAGTATGCCGGACATTCCCTGGCTGGCACTTTTCCTCTCTCTTCGACTCTTTAAAGAGGAGAAGCGTAAACTCTCAGCAGCTGAGTGGACAAACAAAATGTCAGCTGGATGGAACCAGTGACAGACGACTGTGATGTATTCACAAACCTAGGATGAGTTCGATTCTTTGTAAAAAGTACTTCAGGAATTCTTTGAAAGCCTGCACTCCAAGTTTATCAGAGGATAAACAGTTTTAAAAAGTGACTCTTCTCAGTTAAGTCTGACAAGCAACAGATCAAGACAGCAGCTGATATAATAGAAGAAGTGTAAGCAAGTCTATATCCTCTCAGTAGAGGATATAGAGAAGTGAGCTGTGGTTGGGTTGTGTTACTGGCTTAACAGTTTGATTCAAGGAGCCAGATGCAGTAAAACAGTTTAGCTGATTTATGTGATGCCAGGCAGCATGAAGGCAGAGCCAGGCAGTAAGGGTTAACCACAGGCTAGAAGTTATTTATATGTGCATCTACCAGCTACATGTCACTTTTCATGTACCATTAACCCCATCTCCCATGCAGAGCTGTTGTCCCAGCTTTGTGTTACTATCTCTACCACAAATCAGCAAGGAAACAGCACTGTGGGGGCACAACAAGTTAATTTGTTACTAAAAAGGCAGCAACTTTGGAAGTTCGTCTCATGATCTGTAAAACTCAAACTGCTGAAGCCTCGTAGTATAGAGTCACCTACACTTTTGAATGTATTTTTACTGTGGAATATTCTCTGTGGGCATTTTGGGTGGCAAGGCGATACAGTGGTTAGCACGGTCACCTCTCAGCAAGAAGGCTCTGAGTTCAAACCTGATGGCCGACCTGGGGGCTTTCTGTATGGAGTCTGCATGTTCTCCCTGTGCCTGCCTGGGTTCTGTCTGGGGTCTCCAGCTTCCTCCCACAGTCCAGAGACATGCAGCTTAGGTTGACTGGTGACTCTAAATTGCCCGTAGGAGTGAGTGCGAGTGTGTGTGGTTATTTGCCTCTCTATGTCGGCCCTGTGACAGACTGGTGCTGTCCTGGGTGGACCCCACCTCTCACTCAGCTGGCATTGAGTTAGAGGCGCGCACACACACACACACACACACACCTTCAGAGGATAAGCAGTATAGCTAACAGAACAATAATGGCAATTTGACCCCATCACTTACAATCACTGTTGATACTAAGAAAAACTATAAGCAGTGTCCTTCTTATAAGATTTCAAATCAGAGATATGAATGTTTATCGCAAGTGGACAGTGACAATACTAATATTTCTGAATCCCAGCAGTGTATGTAATGTGTGTGCTGTGCTCTGTTATGACTCCTGACAAAAGGAAGTATTACTCTGAGGTCAAAACAAGTCATACTGAGGCCTTGTCTTGTTTAACTCAGGCCGCCTGTATTTACAGATAATCAAAATGTTGACAAATCTGCTGTCTAATCATATAGTTACTTTAGATGACATAGCTCTCCCCTCCAGTACTACTGTGAGGAACCTTGGAGTCATTTTTGACCAGGATATGTCCTTTAAATCACACATAAATCAAGTCTCTAGAACTGCTTTTTTTTCACCTGCGCAATCTTAACAAAATCAGGAGCATCCTGTCTCAAAGTGATGCTGAAAAACTGGTCCATGCATTTGTTACTTCCAGGCTGGACTACTGTAACTCTTTACTATCAGGATGTCCTAATAATTCCCTATAAAGCCTCCAGTTAATCCAAAATGCTGCAGCCAGAGTACTGACAGGAACTAGCAAGAGAGATCATATCTCTCCCATATTAGCTTCTCTCCACTGGCTCCCTGTAAAATTCAGAATAGAATTTAAAATCCTTCTAACATACAAAGCCCTTAATGACAAGGCTCCATCGTATCTTAGGTGACCCTGAGCCTTCCCTTAGTTAAGCTGGGCCTAGCAACCCCTCTTACCCCTATTATTCCTCTGTAATAATAATAATAATAAGGTCTAGACCTTACTTTGTAAAGTCTCTGAGATGACTTTTGTTGTGATTTGGCGCTATACAAATAAAACTGAATTGAACTGAAGTGAATTGAATTTTACAGTTTATTCCCCTATTAAATTCTAGTCAAACAGAATTGATCCTATGGATATTAACAATACTCCATAGAAAATGGTTATGAATGATAATGATTTTGCTAATGTTTATAATGTTTTGTACCTGTGAAGAACCTGAACAAAATGTCTCATTGCAAAGTCTTCATACAAATGTAAACATAAAGCATTCATCACATCGCAGGCAGACATCCAAGTAATTATCACTGTAATATGAATGAACTGGGACTGTGGAGTTGTAGTCAGTGTCTCAAGAAAACAGGCCTCCACAGGCTGTTCTGGTATCACCCCAGCACCTCCCTGCTTCTTCTTCTGCTGCTGCCTCCAGACAGATAAACAGTCTGTCTCTGGCCTCCTCCAACTCAGACACACACAGTCGTAGCTCAGCTCAACACAAACACATCTCACTGAGTCAGCGGCAGCAAACAGCTGCTTTTGCCCTGGCGTCCTTCTGCAGTGGAGCTCAGCGGGTAGGTGGTTCTCCTTATTTGCATCCATCTCACTCTCTGTAGAGCAAACAAGCAGCTCTCTCTGCCTCTCCTCCACTCCCTCCCCCTACTGAAGAACAAACACTATTTCTTTATTTACACCTCCCTCTGCGGCTAACAGAGCGAGCTGGCTCTTCTGTCTCACCGCCTCCACACACACACACAGTCCTTGTTGTGGAACCATACAGGACAACATCCATGGCAAATATTGGTCCTGGGTGAGATGTCTCAGCCTCCAGTTTGTCTGGGGCGTGCACATTTTTGGATGTGCACGCCCCAGACAAACTGGAAAACATGGAGTGAAATATGAAAGTGTGTGTTGAAGAAGGCAGAGCAGAATGCAGACAAACAGAAGGCGTTTCAATTTTCTGATAACCAGCCGAGGTTACCATAGATACTCCATTCTGCACAGGAACATACAGTGATTGCCTGCCCCCCTCGGCCTTCCTCTCTCTCTCTCATCCACTCTGACTCGTCTTTTCTTTTTCTGAACTCTGTTTTCCTGCTACCAGTCCTCTGTTTTTCTCTTTTTACTCCTTCTCTCTCATTCTGTTCTGCTTTTCATTGCAGAGGAGGGTTGGAGGAGGCTGCAGCTCCTCTTGTCTCTTCACTGCTGTGTTGCTATAGAAACAGGGGGATAGAGGTGTAGTTATGTTTTTTTTTTTTGTTTCCAAGGAGACGCTGACAAGGAACAATGATGGAAGGAGTAGGTAGGAAATAAAAAGCAAGTACTACATCATATTATCAATGCCAGGACTCTGTGTCACTGCTGAGTAAACACCTTCTGTCTCTGAAAAGGTCTAAAACATTTAGACTTTAGCTGTGTTTCATCCTTGATGTAAAAACACCAGATCTGTATAAATCTGGAGAAAACAGTCACTGGTGCAGTTTCTCCCCTGTATTCTCACTGTATCCATGTGAAGCACCAGATCAGTCATTTTGGAGGTTTTAAACCATTTACTGCAAATTGTTTACCATCACATGTCAATGCAAACCAATATTTCAAAGTATAACTTGCACTCTGCAGGATGTTTAAAGGTGTTTGACCTACCAAGAAACCACTGACTTCATTTATTTTATTAGATTGAGAAAATAAATGTCAGCAGCTTGAAACTTGCTTCTGAGGAGTGATCACCACTGTGACACCTCGCCTTCATAGTTACATCACAGTTGCCATTTAATCACTGCTGAAACAGCTATTCAATCAATCAATCAATCAATCAATCAACTGCCTGGCATAATCACTATCATAGGTTTTACCAACAAGAACATGATGAAGATGATCAGAGCAGCCCTTCTGTGTAATGACTGGCATTCGTAGTGGATCACCATGTAACAAGTACTATGGGTTACCAACAAACCAACCAAACAATGACCTAAATAAGGAAGTTTGACTTTAACACCTTCAGCATATGAACAGGAACAAGCAGATACAGTGGATCCAAACACTGACCTGTCTTATTGTTCTAAGCCTCAGTGCTCTGCTGTCCTCCCAAAA